CGTCACAAGCCAAAAACTCCGGTTTCGCTGTCTACACGATAACACTGCAACAGGAGTTTTAAAAAAGATTTTCACCCTGGCAGGCGTTTTCAAAAATGTCCGGTTTCAGTGAACTGGTGCTGCGTTTGCGTGTGGACGAACGGCCAAACCGCGTAGAAAAAGCTGCGGTTTTAAAAAAAGCTTGCTCACTAAACCTGACATTTCTATTTTCTGGGGGCGTCACACTGCAAGACTGATTAAATGAACATGAAAGTAGTTTTAACTATTTCAAGTTGAATTAATAGTAATAGCTCTCCCTTCTCATAACATACAAGTCTGAATTCTGACTAATTTTTAAGGATCCCCTAAAAGAGACAGCTTTATTGGTTTGCTGCACCACACATTTTGTCATTTAGAAAATTTAGTAGTACATTTAATACATTCATTTGATTCTAGAATGGGGCTTTATTCAAAAAATATTTCTCACATAATTAGATTGGCTTTAGATAATTTTTTTTACAGTTTAGCCAAATGACAAAATATATATGCAGAAAAAATTAATAGCAATATGTCCTTTTTTGAGTACAGTAAAATTGAACTCAACTGCCCATATAAACAAAGATAAACCCAAAATGAAAACATGTTAGGTGAGAATTGAAATCATATTTTTACACATTGTGTTTCAGAGAAGCACGAAGCTCAAATGCAGCACTTACACAAGCGATCTTTCCATACGACTACCCTGAGAGCCCACCAACTCTCCGAGAGTACAGTACATCTGGCCCAGGAAGTCCTGCAAACACACACGGCAGGAATGGAAGCATTATTTACACTTTATGATTTCAGGGGCATTTGAGTTCAAGATAAGTTGCTTGTTATCTCAGTACACATTCAAGTCAGCATGAAATCAAAATGGGTACCTATTTATCATGAAATATATAGTATATTAATGGTTAATATTATATTTAAAATATTAGAAATGCTTAGTTGCATTGGCAGAAAAGTTGTTTTGGTGCAGAATTTTGAAGAAACACACTTCTTGTTTGTAATAATGTGCATAAATTATTAATTCACAATACGATCAGGAATATGTATTAAATTCCAACAGATAAAATCAAGTCACAATCAAACTCTGCTCAGAAATATGTCGCATTATGGAAGTTAAACAGGTTGTGAATGTTTCATGCCTTTGAGCTAGTATTTGTTCTCCGATGGGAACGTTTTGCTTGTTCAAATCAACACTTAAACGCACATTTCATTTTCAGTGTAAAGTTCATGTTTGGTGCTCATGTTCAATCTTCCATGTCAATTAATTTCTTAGATGTCAACCTTTAAGATGTCTTGTAGACCATGCAAATGTGTAATAACTAATGAATTTGTGGTGCATATTTTGATTTTTTTTTTTTTTTTCAACTCAAAAATTATGTATTTTGGTTGATAACATTCTGTGGTGGACTTCAAGCATGCTCCGCACACTGTCTTAACCAACCAAACAAATAAATAAATACATTTGTATTTTTATTGAATAAATACAAATAAAAAGGTATTGAAATGGTTTACTTTACTTCATATTAGATTTTCATGAGCCTGTGATCATTTGATTCTAGAATGCATTTTAAAAGTAATTCAAGTGAATGTAGGATGAATAAAAATTAAATAAAATTGCCTGAAAAACATGGATGAGAACAAGACCTTATTCTAGATCAGATCTTGATAGGCTGTGTGAGGGCAAAATGTGTGGCAAAAAGGTTTTGCAGATGGAAAGGCAGGACTGAAAAAGGCAGACATTCTTCTGAGAGCGCTGATCAGAATGACTGTGTCCAGCAACTCTGAACATCAATCCCACAGGTGCATTCTGAGATATAGAGTGACCCATGGTTCTAACCCCACAAAACGCTTGGATAAATCATGATAAAACCCTCAGTGATGAGGGTCAAACAACTGTAGGGCCACAGACACACAAGTGAAACCTATAAAAAGTCTTCTAGATCAACCCACACTCACACACACACACACACACACACACACACAGTGTCCATCACCCTTACATTAACAGGAAAACACTTACATGTTTGGACAGGTTTTCACTCTTTGAGTCGAGGTCATACCTAGAAATAAAAGGAAATTTCTGTGAATGACGCTGAGTGAAATGCTTGTAGAATTGATGTGTAATTTCTCTGGCTCAAAATAAAGTGCTGCAGGAACGGGTCCTTAAATCTGGAAACATGTTAGTATTTTTTCACTTCCAGTTCCATTATTTTTTGAATGGGTTTATGGTTAAATACCTGAAATAAGGTCTGAAACAATCTCAAGATATTTTCAGGGTTTTTTTCCCCTAAGGCATAAAATTCTCCACTCATTTTGAAGCGAGTTGACGCAAGCGTAGTGATTATGACAACCAAAATTATTTTGAATAGACTAAAAAATTATGTTGGCATGTAATGTGGTGTTTTGGGTTGTGTTTCTTGTTCATGTTTTCATGTCTTTTATTTTGTAGTTTGATTCCTGCTGTTAGTGTCATGCTTACTAACGTCATGTTTGCTACGCCAAAGCCTGCTAACGTCATGCCTGTTACTCCAGGACCTGCTCACATCATGCCAGTTAAGTTGAAGTTTATTCATGTCATGTCTACTAAGTCAAAGCCTGATCACATCATGTCTGCCAAGCCAGAGTCTGCTAACGTCATGTCTGCTTCCTGCTCTGCCGTCATCACCCGGCCGCACTGCTCTGCCTGCACCGCCATGGCTCCCTGATCTGACTGCTCCGCCATGGCTGCCCGATCTGCCTGCACCGCCATGGCTGCCTGGCATTACTGGAATTGCATTAGCATGGTTCAAATAGTGACCACCATCTATTTGTAGCAGTGAATGAAGAGGTGCAGTAAGGAGTACCACAAGGCTCAGTATTAGGACCATTGCTTTTCACCCTGTACATGTTACCCTTAGGAGATATCATCAGGAAACATGGAGTTAGTGTTCACTGTTACACACTCTCATGGCAATCTCAAACTATTTTACATGTTGGCATATTGTAACTATTCATAACTGTTTTACATTTCCATAAAATCTCGTCATACATTTTCATACAATCTACTTGCACCCTACTGAGGGTTAGTTTCAGGGATGGTGTTAGGGAGGACATTTATGCTTTTTTTTCTTAAAATCATGCATTTTTGTATATTCTGTATTTTGAATAGGTGTATTCAAGTTATTACATGTAGAAAGTGTTTAATGTATGTTTGAATAACTATATAGGACAAATGAATGTCATCATTCACCACTTATCAAGCACCGGTAATGACTGTTTCCCAGACAGTCCCACTGTATTCAATTGTTATAACTGGCTTTGTGAAGTAGGACAGAAGAAAGTATTTTACCACTTTAAAAAGGCACACTTTACCTTTAAGTCATGTTATTACTTCTTGTTTTCACTCTAGGAGCTAAAATATGTCAGTGCTTCTGTTTTCTTGTGACATTCTGAATGAACACAAGCCTGTTGTTCACCGGCAGCTTAAATGAAACCTCAGTGGGTGGCAACAACCTACATGTTTGAGGAAAAATCTGTCATGTTGGGATACATGTTATTTTCCTCTCAGCATGAATCTACACTCTTGGCTGTCTCTCTCTTAGTCTGTCTGTCTCTTTCTTCTTCCCGCTGTGCAAAATGAGCAGCGTCAGCACATGTGCAGATATTTCCAGCCACCGCAGGAGAGACCGCTAAGATCAAGACACACTTTCACCTGACCGAACATTCATGTTCAAATCTCCTCGGCAATAAGAGCATGTCAGTATGTTTTACTTTGCTTGTGCTGCAGTGTTGTATGTGTGTAACTCTAAGCCAAGAATCTACCACAAAACACAATCTGAGGGGTTTGGTTTTGGCTTGTGCTGGCTATATCTTGGATTATTTATGTTCAGTACATTGAAAATTTTGTGCCACCAACAAATCTATAAATTATGGTTACATATGTGTCAATTATTATTAAATGAGGTCATTGTGGGTAGGTTGCAGGGTGCCGCTACTGTATGTGGTTGCTACGGTGTTCTGAGCGGGTTGGTGCTTTGCAGAGGGGTTGCTGGTAACATTTAGGTTCTAAAAACATTGTGGGAAATTGTTTTGAAATGTTTCTAAACAGTTGAAATGCCCAGTTTTCTTGTTGTGATTAGAATGTGATTTAAGGTTACAAAAACATTTTGGGATGTTCAAGTACACCAACACCTTAAAAACATTCCAAGAATTGAACGTCTAAGAACAACACTGGATGGTTGTTAGATTGTTCTAAACAGTTGCTAGATGGCTGCTAGTATGCTACAGGTCGTGAGCTGTAGTTCCAACCACACAAGTTTGCGATACTGTTCGCGGATGTTCGTTAGAGCCAACGTTGCTGGTAATGACAGCACTTGCGATCAGAGTTGGCACACAATGCTTTGGGAAACGGACTTCTCGTTGGTTGCTAGGGTGTTCTGGGTGGTTGCTAGGATGTCGCAAAGGTGTTCTAAATGGTTGCTATTGGGTTCTGTGTAGCTGCTGTTTGCTTACACCACCCAGGTCTCCATGATATGGTTTGTCTTGATCTGAAAAATTTCTAATTAAAATCTCCATGGTTACTAAATAGATGATTCTAAAGTTAGAATTTATATATATATATACAGCTCCAGATCTCAGAGAAACACAAAAGAGCAATCTGGGTAAGAAGGGACCAGGTGTAAAACTGACAGGTGTTCACACACACACACACACACACACACACACACACACACTCTTAGATGGATGTGACATATCCATCAAAATGTCATATCCTGAAAACGATAATATCAGGACAGGGAGATGATGACATGAGTGACCGACACACACATGTGCACGCACACACACACACACACACACACACACACACGTCACTGATGTTCTATTCAGCCCGTGTTAATAAACACTTATGTATAATGTGCATCATGTGCCTCTAGATGATTTGTAGTGGTACGTATGGAGCGGGCTGCTCTAATGGAGGATCGACAGTGTGTGTGTGTGTGTGTGTGTGTGTGTGTGTGATGTAGGTGAATAATGCAAAAATGTAATTTCTGGGATACTGCTGTATAAAATGTGCTTCACTGAGCGGAAACAAGCCAAAACCCTGCAGGCTGTGTGTGTGTGTGTGTGTGTGTGTGTGACAGAGTATGTGTGAAATCATACAAAACTGCATTAAAAGGTCTCCCATGTTCCTTGGGAAAACAGCACTTCTGTATGGGTTGTCTCTGTATTGTTTACAGTCAACATAGAGATCATTAAATATGCAAATCTGTGTTCTCATGTTTTCAATTATTGACACACGAGTGAATGATGTGGCTCTCAGATTTTTGTCTCTGAACGATTGTTTTTTTTTTTAAAAACAAACACAAAAAGACAATGAACTAATACACCTCTGCTATGATGGGCAGATTTGCTATTTTTCTGAATTAAAATTCATTTTGATCATGATTGTGGGGTGTAGATGTGTAGAGTTGTTTAACTGTCATGTGATGTTATTAATTCTTAAAAAGAAAGAGGTGACATGTAAAATTATTATTATTATTATTATTTGAAAAAGTTAAAAAATAAGTCAGTGTTGTCTAACCAACATTCAGAAGACGATTGGCCTGTGGGTGACATGTAAAATTATTATTATTATTATTATTTGAAAAAGTTTAAAAATAAGTCAGTGTTGTCTAACCAACATTCAGAAGACGATTGGCCTGTGGTCCTGTGTCATTTTTTTTTATGGCAAGATGAGATGCAAGACTCATTCAGGTTGAATGTTTATTATTATTTTGATTAAAAAAAAAAACTTCACCTTTTACATTGAAAAAAAAAAGTAAATTTGAAAATAATATGTGTACATTCACATGTATTCAACACTGTAAAAAATTAACCAAATACCATTTCAGTCATACTACTTCAAAATTTCAGGTTCAAATCAATGTGTTATTTTTTACCATTTCTTTGTAATTATTTGTGAAATTTACTAGACATTTATGAGGGAAAATTGCAAAGTAAATCATACACTTTTTTCAGTAAAGATGTAGGCTAAAGATATGTTACTGCATTTTAGTTAGAGGTTACACCACTTGACATTTAGACACATTAAATTATTTTTGCATGCTGATTGTACTTACAGGTCAAAGCGCAAATTTTGTCTCTCTTCAAAGAAGTAATCGAGCATGAATTTGTGCACAAAGTCTGGATTCAGCGTGTTATCGATGACTTCTGTCCTGCCAAACTAAACAATAAAGTGCATAAAAGGCATATTACCAGCATGAACAAACGCAATATAAATAAAAAATACAGATCTGAAAACACAAATTCAAAAAATACTATACCTCTCTCCACTCCCTGTACGCCACAGTCTGAGTGTACAGCACACAAACTACAGAGAAAAGAATATAAAAGATGCATGAAAACTGCCTTGAGACATAAAACGCCACCTTGCTGGAAAGAAGAGTGAAAATATAGCAGCCCTGGTTTTTTAATTCAGCAAATTAAGAAATCAAATATGCACAAAAAGCAAAATAAGATGTGTGGAGCTCTTGAGAATACAATTATTGTCTCATTTGTCTCGCATGCAGTGAGAAGAGCGTGTCATTAACACACACACACGCTCAGAAGTCTCGCCAATTCATATCACAAGCAACGGCAGGCAGCTGAAATAATTCTGTTTCTGAACATCTGTTTGGCTGCCCGGGGGCCTTCCTCTAAACACGAGCCAATACCTGCCATCAGACTGTGTCTAAAAATATGCCTAATTAAAAAAAAGACCATCATTGTCCGCCGAGCGTGCTTAATCTCCACCTTTATATCGGGTTTGGACCCCAGAGCCTCGTAGAGTTTACAGTGTGTGACTTTATGACCACCTCTACTCATATCTGTCCTGGGAGACGAGTGTGTGTGTGTGTGTGTGTGTGTGTGTGTGTGTGTGTGAGAGAGAGAGAGAGAGAGCAATCTGCCTCAGCTGTCTGCATGCACTGAGAAACTCTTCTAGCTTTCATTCTGCCAGCTAGGTGTGTAGATGCATATGGCGACCTGGACACTTTCCAAAAATACACCTACACAATAACATGCAGTCAAATGTACATACACAACTACATACAGCCATAGAACATCTATTGTTTGTTGTCATAGAAATTAGGAGTGGGGCTCAACCAGTCTCTAGATCATACCTAGGACCAAGCAAACTGATCCACAAAGCCATTCCAGAATGCTATTTCACAAGAATGCAGAGTGCTGTGAAAATGTATTTGCCCCCTTTCTGATACTAAATTCATACTAAATAGATCTTCAAATGAAATACAACATAAAAGCAAAGGCAAACTGAGTAAACGCTTACAGTTTTATGTTTATATTGAAGCAAAAAAAAAAAAAAAAGCTTATTGATCCCCTGGCGGATTCTAGAGAGCATTTGATTTGACAGAAAGTTTGATGAGAAGATGAAGTACGATGTGACGTCAAAAAAAATCGTTGAGCCGTTTTGCCCATTTTCTGCCACTGAATAAAAAAGAAAAAATGTAATTGTGACTTTTTATCTCACAATTCGGACTTTCTTCTCACAATACTGAATTTTTTCTCAGAATTGTGAGATATTAACACGATTGAGAGCTTAAAAGGCATAATTGCATGATAGAAATGTGGAATTCTGAGAAATAAAGTCACAATTAGGGCTGCTCAATTATGGCAAAAATCATAATCACGATTATTTTGGCTGTGCTTTAATGTTTTTTTTATGCAAGTCTCAAGCAGTTTGTAGCCTACTACAGAAATGAATAATCAAATGTAAAATAAAACAGTATAGTATTCACTGTAAGAACTTTTTTGTTTCTTATTAAAGCTACAAAAGTCCTTCACTCAAGAGCAGTGTGTGATTTTGGATTTGTCTTTTGTTGTTTGATTAATATTAAGCACACAGTCACAGCAGAAAAATAGACCGCTGTCACTTTAACAGCCGCATGGATCCAATTTACCGTTACACGCGTATTTTCATTCTCAACT